CTCTTGGTAGATAGTGTGGTCTACAGCTTATCATGAGGTACTCTACCTCAGGCAAGCAATACCTCGAGACTTCCTTAATATTAGACATCGCGCACCAGCTGTTATTGACAAATAGACACACACACACCCCTCGTCTTACCAGACGTAGCTGTTCTGTCCTGCCGACGCACGGAAAACCCAGCCAACTTTATATTATCTGTGTCGTCGTTCAGCCACAACTCGGTGAAACATAAGATATTATAGTTTTTAATGTCCCGTTTGTAGGATAGTCTTGAAAGGCGATCATCCAGTGTTATTCTCCAGTGATTGCACATTGGCCAATAGAACCCTGATCTCCGCCCCCTGCATTTCCGTCTTTTCACGCGAATGACGGGGATTTGGGCCTGGTCTCTGAGAAGCAGTCGGACTTATTAAATAAAAAATCTTTGTTCAGTTCGAAGTGAATAATCGCTGTTCTGATATCCAGAAGCTATTTTCGGTCATAAGAGACAGTAGCAGCAACATTATGTACAAAATAATTTACAAACAATGCGAAAAAAAACACACAAAATAGCACAGTTAGTTAGGAGCCCGTAAAACGGCAGCCATCCCCTCCGGCACCAAACTGGGGCTAATTAATTAATTGTCAATACATTTAGTTGATTCACTACTAAGTTCAATACACTTTCTAATATTGTTGAATTCCGTTTTAATGTCTGGATTCCGTGATTCCGTCCACGTTCAATGCACTGTGGATGTTAGAAGGCCCTATAGCAGTAGTACCCTATCTGACAAGGATAAAAATGGCACACAAAATTACTTTTTTAGGTTTAAGAAAGTTGTAGGTCGCATTCTTTATCGTAGAGCTATGAAAGTTATGTATTTATATCCGCCTGCTCGAGACAAATTCAGCGATTGCTTTGGCATGTCTGTGCCGTGAAGCAGTCGAGCTGGATAAATGTTTTCCTAAGGACCGCCCTTTTGACATAATGTTGTAGTGAAGTGAGATAAATCGATGTAATGATGCAGCCGACCACCAGAGGGAGGCAAATACAAGTTAATTCGAAAGAGGACCTTTATAATGTCCTAGGAAGGTCTGGATTGTTGTCTTCTGACTTATAAAATGGTGGGAAATCAGTACAATAAGTCATGTAAATGTATACATATTTTAAAAAGTAATTATAGTGCCTGATTTTGGGGACTGTCAGCTTAATTAAGGCTGTGGCTACGGATATGTAATGTTCGCCTACACTCTGCCCCCGCCCACCCATCGAAAACGTCTTTCTTAAAGCTAAGGATCCAGATCACGTTCTGTGCATGTATTATTTTACGCACACATTCGTTTTTCTAACGTAGTTGCTGCTCACACTCCCCCTCTCTTCACGTCTTGTTCTTTACTCACCCTCTTCTGAACCATGAGAATGTAGCCCATGTCACTGCCTCATATTTCTGAACAGCTGAAATAAAAACCCAGTGGCGATTTGAACGAACATTCCAAAACACATATTATGAAGGCTACAACCTTCTCTGTCTGTTGTAATGGATATTGCAGTTGCACAAGCAGGACGCAGTCCCTACACTTTGGAGAAAAAAATTATCAGCATTTTTAGTGATGATGTAGGCTAATCTTTATAGTTGCTGCCATATCGTAGGTTCCTGAAAAAGAACACTACTTGACTGCCTGTCTGCCTCCTGTGCAGCATAGCCAATGATTGCAATGATGATGGAAAAAATATAATTACATCTATTATTAGACTGCGTGTCTGTGTCTTGATGCGTTCCACATCTGGGTACCCCTAGATTCTAGGCAGTCGAGCGTGTATCCAGACCGGTGAAAATAGTCTGACAATTGGTGAGTTCGTTTTGCATTGCCCGGTGCCATAGTTATGCCGTATATGCTGATATCGTGGTGAGAGTAAATAGCTGCATGTAACTCCGCAGCTAAGAAGAACATGAAATCGCTGGACTGCCTATGTCATGCTTATGTTTGCAATACTGACAACAAAGTTTGTACGAACATGTCGATAATGTATTTTGTGTAAAACTTGTCAATAGATGCACGATTTGTTAACTGCAATTTTTAAAGGAACCGGTTGACTTTGTCTTTATCTAGCGATTCTTAGTGCAAATTTAGACCATTAAAAAGACCTAGCTAGCTAAAAGACAGTCAACCGGTTCCTTTAAAATGTGCAGTTCATTTTCTCAAATCATGCATTTTACACAAAATACATTATCGACATGTTCGTACAAACTTTGTTGTCAATATTGCAAACATAAGCATGACACAAACAGGCAGTCTAGCGAAACACGTTTTGAAAAAACAAATTAGCCTAATCTTCATGACTAATGTTCAACCTTAGATGTCAAACAGTATCAAGGTTCTGGTTTAATGCTTCTAAAAATGTTAGGCCATGCCTACTCCCCTCCTGAAAAAAAAGAACTTGAAATCGCGCTTATGCTTACTGAGGCATGAAATGCAGTAGTTTGAACAGTTTTGTGTACAACATGAAGTTTGTAGGCTACACCAGTGACCAGACAAAGGCGATCAAGGAGGGGGGGAATGGCAGCGGAGCACTCAGCACAGCAGCTACGTAAGGCAGCGGAGTGGGCACTCGGCTAGATAGAAAAATTATCCTGCACATGCACAGAAATATCCGTATTTTTAGCCTGGGCAAATTAGGATACAGAAACTCTATCCGTAGCCACTCAGATTTCTTTGGGGGCCTATGCGCGCAATGCCCTGATGCATTTAATGCTCAGATCTCCGACAGCTGTACCGTGATGGACAAGTAATATTTTAGGAAAGTAAAAAACAATAAAACAATAGGCTATGACGTTTTGAATATGCCATCGAAACACAAGGAACAGTTTTTATTTATTTAATACTTTTTTTACTGGCCTTTTCAGAACGGGTGTGACTGTTCTCGGGTCCATTTGGAACAAGAGGTCTCAGTTTTTGTTAATGTCTGATCTGCTATTTTAATCTTCTTAACACATTGTGTATGAACATAAATATTGGTCAGACTCATAACACAGGGATGTTAATTACGCTACCGCAACATCTACGTCCCAAATGGCACCCTATTCCCTATATAGTGCACTACTTTTAACCAGGGCCCATAGGGCAAGTTGTGCACTATGTAGGGATTAGGATGTCATTTGTGGTGCAACCATTGTTTCGCCGAATTAAAGAGATCACTTACTGCTCAGCTCTTGTATAACCAGCTTAGCCATATGTTCATTCAACATGACCTCCAACCAACTCAATTTGCATAAATTCAATGATCCTCTGATCAAACTTTTGCCCATACCATTGCTCCAAAGCTCTCATCCTAAAACCAAGGAAAATTGTTCTAGGATCATGAGCTATAGACGGGTTGGTTGTTTAGCAACAAAACCGAGGCTTGTGAAACTAAGGGCCAAAACAGACGTGGTTGGCTTAGATTGTTGACAACATTTAAGCTATATTTCTATGTTTATTGAAAACATAAATACATTTTCACAATGAGCACTTGTCTCTCAAATACATCGTTACAGTTGTTGGTTAGCTAGCTAGCGAAATATTAGCCATATTAGCATTGACACGAAATCCATCAAAACACCTCGAAGCAAGGCATGGTATCAATAACAAGCTGAAACTTGCCACTTATGATTACCCACATGGCAGTTTCTTGTCATTCTTGCTAGCAACCTGGCCATCCAGAATCAGAACAACACACTGACTTTTTCCCCATGGAAGCGTGCACATCGTTTTTATGACGTCAGCTAACCAATGTATACCAAGCTTGTGGTTTCAAATAGTCACTTCAATACCGTGTGCAAGTGACGCATTCCTATGTCATACTTTCGTGTTCATGTCCCTGATCTATTGAATGGGCTTGACGATTATATCACCAAATTCTTGAAAACACTGATATATAAGCTATATAACAAATTATAGTCGTGTTTGTGGATTAATTTACTTCTGCCAGATGCCTTTCATAATTTTCCTGCGCTGGAGACCATTCAAAATGCCTACAAAAGTTCAAAAAACGACAAAGCTACTTGCCGCGTCACTTGCATAGCGTATAAAAAACAACATAGATATATACAGAAAAGTATCAATGTGGAATTATTTTCTGTACTCTTGTGTGATGCAAAGCATGGTTCTTCTGTGGTCACTCGTTGTTCTCAGGTGGTCAAGAGGAGTACGTGCTGTCCTACGAGCCAGTCAGTCAACAGGAAGGTGAGCCTCTTTTTCTCCATCACAGTCAAAAACCTTTGGTGCCTTGTTAACATTTAAATCACGTTTGATTTCAATGTGTAAAGCTTCAGGAGGCGTTGGTGTGTAAAAACACAATTTCAGTTAGAAGTGTGATGTTTTTCCAAATTGCTGGACTGTGTTTGGATTCTTCAAACACAATCTTAGCTGTTGGCTTTTTGTTCTCCCATCAGTGAACTACACCCGTCCAGTGATTATTCTCGGTCCCATGAAGGATCGGGTAAACGACGACCTGATATCGGAGTTCCCCGACAAATTTGGGTCCTGTGTACCCCGTGAGTGTAATGTTACTTGTCTTATGTGTTTGCCCTGGTAATGGACAGCACTTTTACAATTTCATGGCAAGGTTATTTAGTACCTCAAACACAAGTTGTGGCTGAGAAAACGTGCACCATTCATTACAATGGTAACTGTCTCTTCATGCATAATATTGTCCAAGGTGAAAATAGGAATTTCTCTACTTGCAGGCAAACCATTTGGTCACGCAGTCTGAGCTGATCTCTTCTTACTAATGCTCACAAAATATGCATCCCTCTTTTATACTCTGTTCAAAAGTAATGCACTACAGAGTGCCATTTGGGACTTTTGCACTCTTCCCCACACATTTAAAAGCATTGGATTAATGTAAGGATGGGAAAGAGGGAGTTTCTGCCATACGTCTAACACTGGACCTTTCCTTTCCCCCCAAGACACAACCAGACCTAAGCGGGACTATGAGGTGGATACCAGGGACTACCACTTTGTGGTGTCCAGGGAGCAGATGGAGAAGGACATCCAGGACCACAAGTTTATCGAGGCAGGCCAGTACAACAACCACCTGTACGGGACCAGCGTGCAGTCGGTGCGTGAGGTGGCAGAGAAGGTACGTGGACCAAATAGAAGGCCATCCTTAGCGGAACTTCTTCACTGTGTGCAGTCCCACCATGGCGGGCAAAGCTGGTTTCTGGTTGTATTGACGTACTTTCAACCAAGGCTGGTTTATTCCCACCCTGGATGTAACTGGCTTGAGTGTGTTCAGCCTTAAAAGCAACAGTCTGTAAGATGCCCTGTAATTTCCAGTAGATAAATATACCCTTAGATTTTTAGGAATATGCATAGACATACATGTACCCTAGGTGGCTAAAAGGGGTCGCCATTGTTTAACTTTAGGTTCTCTCACTAAGCAGAGGTGCTCATTCAGGGCTCTGTGAAATCCTGCTCCAGTTAATAGGAGTTATGCCTTATGTTGTCACCCAAAGTCAGATCTGTTTATTTTCCAAGCTACAGCACATCATATTTGTATTCTTTTGACAGTACAGCGGGAAATGTAGAGGGAGACAGATAGTAGGGGCATAGACAGAAGTTGGCCAAGACGGGGCTCAAACCGCTATCGCCAGGGTGCATATGTGGTCCTGAGTCGGGAGCTTAGGCCACTACACCTGACTCCGGCACAGCAAACAATATTTTACATAAAGCATATCATAGAGTTCAGTCTGGTTTGTGTTTCTGTATCGTGACAACACTACACCCACCAGATTTCTCTGTTCCCTCCCTAAGGGCAAACACTGCATCCTGGATGTGTCGGGCAACGCCATCAAGAGGCTGCAGCTGGCCCAGCTCCATCCCATCGCCGTTTTCATCAAACCCAAGTCCGTGGAGAACATCATGTGAGTGGGAGCTGATTCTCTGTCAGCTTTAGATGCTCATCCACCTGGTACAACTGTCAGCTTAGTTTAGAAGACTTGATGGTCGCTATTAGCTCCGTCGGTTTGGCGCTTAACTGGCGCAAAAGCCTGTATCATGCACTCTGCAATTAACATTTTTAAAATAAGAAGTTTAGGTCGGTTATCGGTGTGTCTTTCTACATTTGTTTTGGATAGCTAGTTGTTCTTGCCGGAATTAGTACCTGAATCTAGACGCACTGTTGTGTACAGGGTTTTCATTGTGCTGTTCTCTCCCTTTCTATCAGGGAGATGAATAAGAGGCTGACGGAGGAGCAGGGCAGGAAGACCTTTGACAGAGCCGCCAAGCTGGAGCAGGAGTTCACCGAGCATTTTACAGGTGACAAACTAACCCATTTCTCTGTGACCTTGGCATGACATGGGACGGTTAGTTTAACATTTAATTGTTTAGTTTATTTGTATGTGTGTAGCACCCTTTTTTTAACACAGGGAAATCTTTAAGGGGCTTCACAGGCAAAGAAATTACGATGAAAGCAACAGAGTACACACAGCATTACAAGTAGATGCATAGTAGATGCGTATAAAGGCTATTGGATGAGAAGCCACGAGCTAAGCTTAACCAGTCACTAAGCCTTTTTTGTCTCTGTTTCAGCCATCGTTCAAGGAGACACCTTGGAGGAGATCTACGAGCAAGTCAAGCAGATCATAGAGGAACAGTCTGGCCCGTTCATATGGGTGCTATCCAAGGAGAAATTATGAAGAGGTCACAACACTTTCTACTCCCCCGTCGTCCTCCTCTCCTTTTTATTTATGATTTATGCCCTGTTCTGCTGAAACTGGCAACACTACCCTACTATCTCCCAAACGGTCCGAACCTTATCACCCCCTTCTTCCTCAATCCCCCTCCTCTGCCAGGCTTCTCTCATGACCTAAGTCTTCGGTCCCACTGACCGAGAAGTGACAGTGATGGCCAGTGATGACAACAACAAATAGCCAGAGCGGCAGATGATGTTGTTAAAACGGTACAGTTCCTTAATGCTTAAAGGATGTGACTTTCTACGAAAAAAGGAAAGTGAAACAACGTTTAAGTGACTCGCGGCTTAAAGGTACCTCCTTTTTAAGTCTAGTTTTTTTTTCCGAATCGAAGAAGAAGGAAGGAAGCATTAGGTTATAAGTAGCGGAAACACAAAGCAAAACTTTGCACGTGATAGCTTTAACAGCATGTCTTTTTATTACCTTTTTCCACTTTCTTTTACCCCCCAATCTTCATCCTTCAGCAAATTTATCATAGTACTCTTCTTCTTTTTTTTTTTTACACAGTTGTATTCACTTTTCCCCCCGCTCCTTACCAGTGTATCCATGTTAGAAAGCCATTGGATTTTGTGTCTTTGAGCGGCACACAGATGTTTCTTGTGCGGCACTTGATTGAACAGGGTTCTTCAACTCAAGTCCTGGAGGGTAGAGTGTGTGTAGTGTGTCCATTCAAAGGGTTTTACTCTGACCTCTGCTCTTAACAAGAACTGTGTGACGGAAACAGCATTACTGTTTGTACGGTTGTAATTCTTTTAGCAAAGATATCATTTGCATCCTACATGAGTGTTTGATTTCTGGACTAATATTGACATTTTCAGGAGCAAAATGTGATATTGCTCCTACTAAAACACATAGTGCCCTCTAGAACTTGAGTTTGAGATCAGTGTAAGAACTATGGAGAGTTTTTAAGCTGTGTCTTGCTGTTTAAATGACCATCTTTGATCGTTTGAATTGTTTTTGAGAGTCCTTTTACAGATGCGAAAGTAAGGAACTGCCATTTTTAGGTGTCCTTAGGTTTGTCAGCAAATTGCAAATGCAAAAATGTAACAACTTTATTGTACAATGAGATTTTAACATATATTTAACCCTCCGTAAACTGCCTATTTTGTTATAATAAAAGTCTATATTGAACTTTACTTAAGCACTAATACTATGGGAATTATTTTCGTTGCATTTTTAATCATATATAAATACAAAAGTATCAAATATATTTAAATATGAATATATATTTTTTTGTTTTCTTTTACCACCACCTCCTTTAACATTTTATTTTTAAAGAAATTATTAAAGTCTACATCAGAAAAACGATTATTCTAATACAGTGCTCCCTTATTCTGGTTCTAAAGAACCTATGGGTATGCTCTTTTCCCCCACAACTAATACCTCAATTATTGATTAAACTGTGAAATTATGAACAGGGTGTCACTATTGTGAAACACTATCCCTGTTTCAAGTTTGAGGTGTAAGGTGAAGTTGCCCCTAGACACTGATCTTGGGTCAATTTAGCATTTTCCCCCCAATGGTTAAGGTTAGGATTGAGGGAAGGGAAGCTTATCCTAGATCTGCACCTGGGGGAAACTTCACCCTGGAGCAGTCAGAGAGTCTCTACTGTACCAGGACTATACAGACCACTTCCCCTACCCAGGTCAGGCCATAGAGGCCTGTGGTAAAACCAATGTTTTAGATTAGAGAGCAGTCTCAGAAAGGGCCACTATGGCAGCTAGAATCCTCCCGTGTCCTATTATAGTAACTGACTAGTCTTTACTCATGTGATAGCCTACAAGATTTTGAAAAAACGATGTAACCCATAAAACTACAGATGACTAGAAGTAATATAACATTAATATTAAATAACATAACATTTGTTTTTTACACCTGCCAAATGTTTAAAGGCCCTGACTTGAAAACAACACAGCTTCACGTGAGGAATGTACTGGCTATTCTTGAGTGGGTTTTTTCCAGAATGCAATGATGCCGGTTCTACAGTAGATATGGGAACTGAAGGTCCAGACTTTACCCCATTAGACTTTTTTTATAGACTTCATTCACAAGCTCCACACATGGCTTGTGTCCCTCAGCGAGGCCTCCCCCATCCTCGCCTTCAAGATAACAGCTTTTTCTACACCACAAAACTGCATCTTCTACCACCTCACCTCCTCCACTTTTCTTCAGAAATTTTTGGGACTGTCTGGAAACATGTAAATAACCTACCGATTCTCATTCATTCCATTAATCAGAGAGGAGAACAGCTCATAAATGAATAAAAAACAAAAAACATTTCTCATCCAACTTAGTGTGGGTGCGAGTCTTTTCTTTCTGGTGTGTGTGTGTGGTGCCAGATCTTAAACCCTATTTCAATTGACCACCCCTCAATTGTTTGTGTGTGTGTTGTAGTAATAGATGTGAGTCTTAAGATGCAAATTGCACTTGATTTCAAGACATATCTGTAGGCTGGTGCTCAAGGAATGACATTCCATGAGCGCAACATTACTTTTTTAAACATTTGAAGCTATACATCATGAGGTCATTGCAACGAACAAGCAGACTCGGCCTATTGGGGAAGTCCGATAGAGGCAGCAAGAGTGAAAAGCCACCCCAAACTGGTAACAGCAATATGGTTGGATGCCTCTAATAGGAGCCGGTTTCCTGGACCCTGCTCAAACCTTCTCCTGGACTAAAAATCATGCTCTATTCAGTCTGAGAATCTAACTTGTAAGGGCTTATTCTTAGTCTAGGAATAGACTTAATCCAGGTCTGGAAACAGGGCTTAGGTGGGTGTATTATTCATAATACACAGCCAACCAGTTTTCCACATACTGGTATGCTCACAACACTCCATTACACTATTGAGAAAAGCACTCAATAATAGCCCATATGGGAAGAAAAATATATATATAAATATAGGATACGTGAAATATTAAGAATTGGATTACGGAATGTATGGAAAATATATACTGAACAAAAATATTGTTTTGGTCCCATGTTTCATGAGATGAAATAAAAGATCCCAGAAATGTTCCATATGCACAAAAGCTTATTTATCTCCAATTTTGTGCACAAATTTGTTTACATCCCTGTTAGTGAGCATTTCTCCTTTGCCAAGATAATCCATCCACCTGACAGGTGTGGCATATCAAGAAGCTGATTAAACAGCATGATCAATACACAGGTGCACCTTGTACTGGGGACAATAAAAGGCCACTCTAAATTGTGCAGTTTTGTCACAACACAATGTCACAGATGTCTCGAGTTTTGAGGGAGTGTGCAATTGGCATGCTGACTGCAGGAATGTCCACCAGAGCTGTTGCCAGATAATTGAATGTTAATTTCTCTACCATGCCGTTTTAGAGAATTTAGCAGTACGTCCAACCAGCCTCACAACCGCAGACCACATGTAACCACGCCAGCCCAGGACCTTTTCCTGCGGGATCGTCTGAAACCAGCCACCAGGACAGCTGATGAAACTGAGGAGTATTTCTGTCTGTAATAAAGCCCTTTTGTGGAGAAAACTCATTCTGATTGGCTGGGCCTGGTTCCCCAGTCATCAATAGATTAGGGCCTAATTTATTTATTTCAATTGACTGATTTTGTTATATGAACTGTAACTACGTAAAATCGTTGAAATTGTTGCATGTTGCGTTTATATTGCTTTTCAGTATATGTCACAAATATACACTACACGGCCAAAGGTATGTGGACACAAATTAGTGGATTTGGCTATTTCAGCCACACCCGTTGCTGACAGGTGTATAAAATCGAGCACACAGCCATGCAATCTCCATAGACAAACATTGGCAGTAGAATGGCACTTACTGAAGAGCTCAGTGACTTTCAACGTAGCACCGTCATAGGATGCCACCTTTCCATCAAGTCAGTTCGTAAAATTTCTGCCCTGCTAGAGCTGCCCCGGTCAACTGCAAGTGCTGTTATTGTGAAGTGGAAACGTCTAGGAGCAACAACGGCTCAGCCGTGAAGTGGTAGGCCACACAAGCTCACAGAACGGGACCGGCGAGTGCTGAAGGGCATAGCGTGTAAAAATCGTCTGTCTTCGGTTGCAACACTCACTACCAAGTTCCAAACTGCCTCTGGAAGCAATGTCACACAATAACCGATCGTTGGGAGCTCCATGAAATGGGTTTCCATGGCCAAGCAGCCGCACACAAGCCTAAGATTACTATGCGCAATGCCAAGCGTCGGCCGGAGTGGTGTAAAGCTCGCCGCCATTGGACTGTGGAGCAGTGGAAACGTGTTCTCTGGAGCGATGAATCACGCTTCACCATCTGGCAATCCGACGGACTAATCTAGGTTTGGCGGATGCCAGGAGATGCCACCCCCCGTGCACAAAGCGAGGTCCATACAGAAATGGTTTCTTGAGATCGGTGTGGAAGAACTTACATTTACATTTTACATTTTAGTCATTTAGCAGACGCTCTTATCCAGAGCGACTTACAGGAGCAATTAGGGTTAAGTGCCTTGCTCAAGGGCACATTTACGTCATTTAGCAGACGCTCTTATCCAGAGCGACTTACAAATTGGTGCATTCACCCTATAGCCAGTGGGATAACCACTTTACAATTTTTTCTTTTTTTTTTTTTGGGGGGGGGGGGGGGGGGGGGGGGGGGGGGGTAGAAGGATTACTTTATCCTATCCCAGGTATTCCTTAAAGAGGTGGGGTTTCAAATGTCTCCGGAAGGTGGTGAGTGACTCCGCTGTCCTGGCGTCGTGAGGGAGCTTGTTCCACCATTGGGGTGCCAGAGCAGCGAACAGTTTTGACTGGGCTGAGCGGGAACTATGCTTCCGCAGAGGAAGGGGAGCCAGCAGGCCAGAGGTGGATGAACGCAATGCCCTCGTTTGGGTGTAGGGACTGATCAGAGCCTGAAGGTACGGAGGTGCCGTTCCCCTCACTGCTCCATAGGCAAGCACCATGGTCTTGTAACGGATGCGAG